ACTACTACTACTACTACTACTACTACTACTACTACTACTACTACTACGAACGAGAAGCGAAGCTACTAGGAACAAAGGGCATCGCTACTAGGAGCAATGATTTTCAGCATCCCCTTTGTCAGCTGACCGCGCATGCTGTGCGGGGCTTGGCAGCGGCCGATGCCAAAGATGCTTTGGTCTTGCTGCAGGATTATCGGTGGTGGCGTTTGTGTGTTCTTTTTTTGTGACAAACATAGGACAAACATGTTTGTGAACCCCTTTCAGAGGGATTGGACACTTGTGGGGAAAGAGGCCTTGGGGAAGGAGATGAAGTCCCACCGGAGAGGACCTGTTTCCCTGACGGGGCACACCAATCCTCACACAGGATCCTTATGACACACGGAACACGTGACAACGTCTCACTAGGAGGATTTATGACATGAACTTAGGCTTCAACCACAACTATTCCAGCTCTCAGATGCATCAAGTTGAGGTTCATTTGTGTGGGAGGGTGGTGTCAATGGTGTCGTGGGGTTTGCAGGACTTGCTGTCCCACCGCCAGGCAGGTGTGGTAAAACTGGGAAGCTGTGACGGGTACTGACACAACTTGGGAACTCAATCCTGTTCAACAGGTTCTGCTGAACAAAAGTTTCACAAGTGAGCAAGAATATCTAATCTTTGTGTCAGAAGTTGTGAACTTCCAGAACGTCGCTGAGGGGCTCAAAGGATCAAGCAAGTGTTCGTTCGTGGTGTGGGAGTTGTGGGGGTCTTGTGCCGCAGGTGGCACATCCTTCCCGGTTTGTCATGGCACGGTTGCCTGGAAGTGGTTGCAGATCGGGCGACCCTGGGATGGAGTTCTGAAGTCTTAGGTTCTTGAGGTGGTTCAAGAAGAGCTGAGGTGAGCCTCCAGAACTTGAAGAAGAAGGCGGGAAAATTTGTTCGTGAATCTGGGTTCCCTGAACATATTGGTCAAATCAATTCTTACAGTCTTATGGTGGTGTGCAAGGGCTTAGGTTGCGGACAAGCATGAAAACAGACTGCACACTCATCCAGGCCGACAGCCCCCCATTGACATTAGGTCAAGACTCCCCACGTTTATCGCTATGGCTCTATATGGAGAAGCATGCAGCACGAAAGATGTTTGCTGTTCTTCTATTTGATTCTTGGAGTTGTTTGGGCTTTCTTGGCTTATGGGCCACAGTCGCAAGTTGACATGTGGATTACTCTGTCCAAGCATGACAGCAACGACACTTCCCTTGCAAGCAAGTCGACATTTGACAATTTGACCAGTCAATTGGAAGCATCCGGCAACAATTCACCAGTTGGTGAAGTTGAAGCCTTTTAGGGGTGGGGCTGCTTCATTGCCTAGCTAATGACAGAGAACGGACCTGGTGATCTATATAGTGGATGTTGAGAATTTTGATAAATTGGGTGTTTTCATCGAGAATTAAGACCATCCACCTAGATGTCTGTCTTGAGGGGCTAATGTTGCTCAACTTGAGATCAATCGTGCCACGTTCAACACATTGGAATACGATGTCGTCCGGCTACGGTGGCCTCAATGAGCCGGGATTCCAAGGGTGGAAGGAGTTCGTGTGTTTTCAGGGATCGACCTGCACAATTCCCTGAGATTCTCTGGCAAGTTTCATGTTTGGAAAGAATCACACCCATTCTTGGCAAGCTTCTCGTGTGAATTCTTGAAACATTTCGATCCCATCCATTTCTTTTGGCAAGGATTCGATCATCGGGAGGTGCGCCGGGATGGATGTTGGGATTCGATCTCCGCCATCAATTCTCTATGACATTAAACATAGACAAGGAAGAATTCAACTCGATGTCGTCCATGTCGTCCATTTCGTAGTCTTCTATGCTACACTTTCTTCTTGGAGCGCATGTCTTCATTGTCTATCTTAATCTTCGGTGGTCAAACCTCGGTGGTCGAACCTCCTTTTCGGCAAGGCAGTTTGACCGCATATGAGAAGAAAATGATGCGGTGCCGGGCCTCGGCTGAGACGGCTGCAGGGGGCTCACGAGACGGACGAGCAACGGACTCCAACGTTTTTAACGTTGCAGTGGAGGCCCGAGACCTTCCCTGAAGGCGCCTTGCTCCTAGTAGCGATGCCAGGAGCCCCTAGTAGCGTCCTTCCCTTCCATGGCGCCATGGGACTGTTCTGCGAGAGATCATTGTGCTACAGCTAATTAGGGAAGAGAAGGCAGACATGGGTGACACATTTCGCTTCCATCGCAGGTTTTGCTGCACTCATTCGGACAGTGACAACAAACTGACAGGACACTAATTTGATGGGTCTCAGGTCCCAGCTACTTTTCGTATCAACAGAGGCCTTTAAAGGTTTCCTTTTGCAACACCTGCTCCGTTCGATGAAACGGTCGACGGCTCATTTACTCCAACGCAGCTAAGCATACTGGCTGAGGCGTTTGGAGAAAGCAAATCTCGCGCAGTCAAACCAGGTGGGTGGGCTCGTCTACTGTTTGGAGAAAGGACGCCTTCTCTCTTGAAGCCGAAGGTTGTGAGCATTGATGAAAGACTCCAGCAGAGATGTTCAACATCAGCATTCTATTGATTCTATTGTTTGCTGCATCTTGAGAATCCCAAATTTGGCCTGCTCCATCACGGCAGTGGCAAGACTCATAAGTGGAAATGTTAAGTCAGGGGCCATCAAAGATCAAGCATCCGCTCTATGACCTTTATGATCCAGACATGATACTGATCAGACACTGCACTGTTTGACCTTGTCTGTCAAGTGTCGCGCAGGCACCGAAAGAAATGCCCCAGGCACAGGCACTACCGAAGGTGCCACAGGCCAGACTTGCCATGGCCAGATGAACAGATGAGGTCACTAGCAGCTAGTGACTAGCACTCCTTGTCAAATTGAGGAGTGCAAGTTAGGAACAGACATGCTGTATAGAATCATTCTAAGGAATAGCTATGCAGCATGCAGGATGCAATCCATTGGCACAGGGGGGATTCAAGTGGAGCAGGTTTTGACTTGGACGTCACTGTCATGTTCTAGCCAAGCAGTGCAAAACAGGCACAAGACATCTTTCTTTGTTGCCAGGAGCCCCTAGTAGCGTTCTTGCTCCTAGTAGCGATGCCCTTTGCTCCTAGCAGCCTGCTTACTGTCGTGTGAGCGCTGCTTTCCAGGTAGCTCCACCGACGGTAGCTCCAGGGAACCCCGATCACGAGAGGTGGGGGGGAGTTTGCTGGTTCAGGTTCCGACTCAAGGCTGGTCAAAACTCCTGTAGCAAGGCCAGGAGCCCCTAGTAGCATCCTTGCTCCTAGTAGATCGGCCAGGAGCCTCTAGTAGCTTCTTGTTCCTAGTAGTAAGGCCAGGAGCCCCTAGTAGCATCCTTGCTCCTAGTAGTACGGCCAGGAGCTTTTGATTCATCAAATTACATGTCGTTTGGGACATGTGTCCTTGGAGGTTCCCATTTGAGCTGTTTGGGTTCCCTTTTGAAAACTCCCCAGGGAAATGGGCCTTTTTGCATGACGCGAGGTTGATCGCTTTGGCTCGCGAGTCGTCAGTGGCCTCAGCATGATGTAACTAAGACAACCATTGGATCGTGTGAATCATGTGGTTTGCATGGCGGTTTGTCAACTTCCTGTTGTGCAGTCAGGAAGGACCATCAACTTCTCTTTTCTTCTCCGCTGCTCGAATCAATTGCATTCAACAGTTCCACCAAGTTCCACCTGTGCTGAATCGATCCGGATTTTGTCCAAAACAAACCCGGGACGGCATTGCCCTTTTATTCAATTGTTTTCAGACTATTCTCAACTGCTCCAAGCTTTCACGTCCATCGAGGCGTCAGCAGGGCAACCTTTTTTTCTACTTCCCGGATGCCAATGAGAGGCTGGTTGGTTTTGGGTTCCTGATCCTCTACGCTTTGAAAGCAAATTGTCCCAGGATAAAGCAGCAAGCGAAGGAGGTGCATGAGCAGATGAAGGTGCCAAAGGTTAGGGGTTGACCCGGAGCTGGTGTCCTTTTGAACCCTGTGAATTAGACTCAGTACTGGCAACTGAGACATGGCACAAGTTTTTCATTTTCCAGATTCGTTGGATTGACGTTACTAACAGGGGCAAATGACGTGGGAGACGGAGTCTTCACTTTTTTGAACAACCTATCAAGAACTCATCCACAAGCCAAGTGACGAAGTCTTTGCCGCCGGATCTTTGAAAGTTTTCGCTCCGAGTAAATGCCTCAAGAAGGGTCATTAGTTTGGCAATGTAGAACAATTCTTCGGGAGATTTAGTTGCTACCAGTCAATTGAGACTGACTCCTTTTTGAGGGTCAATGACACATAGGCCTGCCCAGTTTAAGGAAGTTTTCTAGGCTCGTGCTCAAGAGATTTTGGAGGGTTTGCTCACTCGTCTGACTCATGAAACCGTCAGATGAATTCCACGGCATACCTCCCATAGCCCCGTTGGATGTTCAGGATCGTGAAGCTATGGATGAGAATCTACGTTTACGCAATGAGGACCTGAGATGGTTTTTGAGGATGGATTCTCAGCATGCAGAAGCTGCAGCAACCTTGAAAAACAGTGAACACGAGGTCTGAAGAAATGATATGTTTAGTGTAGCAGGAGTTGACAGTGTGGGGTTGCACCTTGTGTCAGGACCACCCAGAAAGGCTGGAAGTGAAGCTTTGGTGTTTTGCACTGTTTTACTCAGATAACCCAACAATTCTTTTTGAGACTGGTCCTTGTTCTGGTTCACATCCATTTTTGGCCAAACCTGTGCCCGATGGTGAAAGATGGACAATTGGCAACAAGATGCAACAAGCATTTTTAGCTTGTAACAAAGCACCCAAGCAATAGTGAAGATAAACTCGGAGCCTTCTTTCTCTAATCTGCCCTGTGAGTGAACCTGCGCCGCAGCCTCGCAGGGGCATCGTCGACTTCTTCGAGGCTTTGGAAAACTTGCAACAGAAGGTGGGATGCCACAGGACTTTTGGTAGAACCAGACTACTGTACTCCTTTTCTAGGTTTGGACAGCTAGATGATATTCCTCTGCCAGATCGACTTGGCACATCAGCATTGATTCGATAGAGTCTGCGGGACATTGGCCTCCGCCGAGCTTGGATCGAAGCTATGAATTGATAGGGCCAGACTTGTCTGTTGAGGAAAAGAACTGTATAGTTATTGTATATATATATATATGGGCATGGGTGCAAACCTGGAGCCCTTGTCCACCCTGCAACTTGACCTTTCGGGTAGGTCCACGAAGGTATCCTGGTTTTGACCCACAGCCATATCATACATATATATATATATATGTATATAGACACCACATTATGTATATGGCATATAAATAAACATATATATATATATACACATAATGGAGAGGTTAGGCTCACTGGCAGGAACCAACTACCAATTTTGATTTGCACAGCGGGTCGGGTCTCCGCTGGGCCTCTTGTGTAGGAACGGCAAGCAAAACTGGACTCAGAGTGTGGCGCTCAATTTCGGCCAATCATTCTGGTCTTTCACTAGGACTTTGAGAGTGGATTCAGGAGGTTCGGGTTCTATTTTTGCAAAAATTGCAGGAAGGCTTTTTGAGGTATCTCTCAACGCTTTGCTTGGTCACATGTGAATTTTAGTGCTCGACTTTCTACTGTATACTGTAAAGCTTTCAGCATTCATACCGACTGGAGTTCAAAGACTGTTTGACCAAGCACATGTCCCACGGAAGATGCCTCAGGCTCCAGGGGAACAGTGCCAGCAAGCACAGCGCGCCGACCGTCTCGGCCGCCCCGAGTGACGAGGCGTGTCCTTGTTTGCAGGGAATGTCAAACAAATCCAGACCGCGCCGTGCTGTTTGGTTTGGAAGCTTTGAACAGATTATGTTAAGTTATTTTTGCTGATTTAGGCCGCCTCAAATTAAAGGCAGAAGACCACCACAAGGCTGCTTTTGCCCAATCCGGGACTTAGGATTTGTATAATACTGCAGATAGGCTCGCTCTAACATCTAGTTTCCACCCTGCGATAAGAGTAAAAATGCAAGCACTGCATGCTCATTATTCATTTGTTTATCATTTTTTTGAATAAATTTACGTTGACTCGGTGATCCTTACAGTAGTGATTGGTTCACAAAGCAACTTGGGTGTGCAATTGGCATTGGAATCTCACTTCGTTGTTGGGAGCCTCAACTATACAGTAACATAGTAGCGTGATTTTTGCAGCAAGGGGACGGACATATAGTGCCGACCACACTTCCTACAACCGGTCTGGCCATGATTGCGTTACTTTCAGACTGAACCAGTGCCATGCATTTGCAGGTCAGCACAAATCCCAACAGAGGTGTGGAGGATGGCCAGTTTCACATCCCAAGTTTGCGATTCACGGAACAAGAAGCTACTAGGGGCTGCTGGCATCGTTACTAGGAGCAAGGACGCTACTAGGGGCTCCTGGCCGTACTACTAGGAACAAAAAGCTACCACAAAAGCCATTTGTTCCAGCTTTGAATTTGTGGGTGGAACCTCGGAGTTATGGTCCGTTGGCAAAGGTGTACCGCAGTCCTGGTTTGTTTGGCAAAAAAACACCTTTGATCTCCGGGTTTGCTTCGTGGCGTGCCCAATGCGGGTGTCGCAGGTCCCAATGCGCGGATCACAGCTTGAGTGCGCGGTAAAAAAGAGCTGATCGCAGGGGAGTTTTGGCACCAAAGGAGATTTTTAGGTCAGACTGACCTATGTCATTGAGTTTTTTAGGTCAGATTTTTAGCCTCATTGAGTTTTATTTTCTGGTCAGACTGACCTATGTCGACCGGGGGAGACTTGAGCATGACCTCTGAAAGCAGTGCAACGAGGCTGGTGAGGCTCCACCAGACTCCAAGGTCCGATGCTCAAATTTAGAGGGCATGGTTTGTACCTAGCTCCATGCAGGTGGAGTTCGTGGCAGTGTGAAGGAGAACAAAGATCCAATAAGTCTTTTATATTATCGGTCAGAGTTCGCGTCACCGTGCCACTTACAGATGGGTGACTGGGCGGGTATCAAAATAGATTCAATGTGCAGGTCACACTTACCAAATGGTTACAGAGGGTGGAGTCCCTTTGTTCCAAAAACACCTGCTCAACGTCCCGCTCAAAGAGCCCACCAAGGTCCGGGCCCTCCGGGCCCCGGCCGGCACCGCTGAGTGCCAGGCCGCGAAGCCGGTGAAGGTGCCTGGACAGGGGGAGCCGCCACGAGAACGGCTGGTCAGTGGCTCAGATAGGAGTGTGGAGCCATGGAATCAGTCTCTGAGTCGGACCACTAGATTCGTGTTCGGGAGAGTCGAGGCGTTAGCTAAAAGGTCTCATTCGATTGAAGATTCTTTGCAGCTGCCCATGTGTATCATCTTGTATCATTTTGTATCATCTTGTATCCATTCGTTCTCTCCAAGGGCTCAAGTGAAAACCCGACGAAGGGAGGTGGCCCCTAGTCCCGCCCCTTTCGAACGATGTCGCGCTCCAACGTGCGGAGTTGGAGCATGGAGGAGGTGCAGGCGTGGTTGTTACAGCAAGGCCCCCATGTGGCAAAGCCCGAGGCCGGGTGGGTGAAGTGTTGCGTGTTTGAGGCTTTGTGAAGCTTTGAGCTTGGAGAGAGATATGCAGCATTTCCCATTCACTTATTTGCGGCTGGCAGATGTCATCACTTCACATTTCAGAAGGGAGAGCACTTTCGAAATCCCACTTGACCCTGCTTTGCACCCATAGTGCTCATTTGAGGACGGCCCAAACAGAACATGACCTACGACCAGTGGGTTTTGTTCCATTCCCCAGATAGCGTGAGCTATTGGGTTCTTACTTCAAGTATGTGTGTTTTCGAGCCTGGGTGCTGGTGCCGCGGCAGGGTGTCGCTCAAGGGTGCTGCTGCGACGTGCCTCTTGCCCTGCGCACTTTGAATTTCGGGTGCTGGCACCGCTGAGCCGAGTGCCGCTGCGGATTGCTCACAGATGTTTTTTTGCTATCAGGCGTAATCTTTTTGTTTAACTTTTGAGCCATGCCCGTCTATCTTGGGTAACTTTTTGTTTGTGTGTGCTCACGGCGTCGACGGCTTCGCCGGCCTCGCTAGCAGGTCATGGAGAGCTTCCGGGCGAATGAAGTGGACGGGGCCATCTTGCTACATTTGACACAAGAAAACATCCGCATCGAGTTGCAGGTGGAGAGAGGGAGTTTCCATTTTGTTATTTTGTTTTATTTCTGCAGTTTTGTCCACTTGTTCAGTGTCACTTGCAACCAAACACGTGGGTGCGAGTCAACTTTGAGAAGTGCAGTGAATGGGGATTGGACAGAGGAACTAGATAGAGTCGGCCTGTGATGAATCTTCACATAGACTGCACAAGAGTGCAGTTTGACCCCAACTCATGCGTGAATCCCTAATTCATGAAGAGCATCCTGATTTGGGCTCAATCTACATTACATCAACTTTGGGGAGGCTGGAATGAAACGATCTATCTATCAATATATATATATATATACGACGCTTGGGTGCATTCGGGCCTTCCCATTGAAGGAGAACTAGACTCATTTTGACTCATTGCAGTAAATACACTTTTTGCTCAGACGAGCCCTTGTCAGGTCCGGAGCCTGAATGCCAGGAAGATCCTGTGGGATCGAGTGAGCGAGTTGCAGTACTTGGAGGGCAGCCGGCTGCTGAAGAAGGCGGGGCATGCAGTATGCTGTTTGGATAGTCAACCTTTTGTTGTTTTGTTGACCTGCATTCAGATCCATGGTGGCAAACAACATGATTGCGGCAAGTGCTAAATAATCCACAGCTGATTCTTTGGCTGTGTGTACCATTGTTGTGGCCTTCCAGGTTGTGAAGATGCAGTTGGAGTGCTCTGAAGATGACCTGCAGCACAGTACACTGGAAGCCAATTCCCAGGATGATTTCATACAGGCAGTGCAGTTGTGGCAGGCTGACCTGCAGAGGGTTCAACAGATTATGGAGGAGAGGATTGGTATAAAAGGAATTTCGATGTGTGGGCCGTTGAGTTTCCCTTGGGATCTCTATAGCCGATTGCATAGGATCTGCATAGGATGTTGAGACTCTCACATGTTTCTGCTTGAGGATGCTGAGAGGAGCAGCCTACTGCAGTCCATGGAGGTTGGTCGGGAGATGTTTGCCGAGGCAGGGTATGTTGCCGCGCAAGAGCTACAGACTCACGTGAACCAGGTCGTCGAGCTCGAGAGGTCAGATGCCCAAGTGGCCAGGGATGTGCACATTGGGTGGATTGATGTGCAAGTGGCTGGTGTGCTGCAGAGGGCCCAGCGGCAAGTCGAAGTCCCTTTGGCACCGAGCACAATGGTAACCCCAACTAGCGTGGCTTCATCAAGTGCTGCTGTCACAACAGCTGCAGATGTAGCTCCAAGCAGCGCCGCTTCAAGCTCCGCTGCAATTTCCAGTGTGTTTGAGTTCGTGTCGACAAATGAAGCTGCTCAATCCATGGCTGCTAGCTCCGTTGCTACAAGCAAAGCGGCCAGCAGCGGGGAGCCTATGCCAGAGCCAGGGCCAAGCTCGAATAGATCTAAGCTCTTGAAGTGCAACACATGTTTCGAAAAGAAGACTGAGTCATACGAGTTGAGCTGCAAGCATGCTATGTGCAGAGACTGCTTAGCCAAGTTCTTCATAAGTGCCACATCGGATCTCACAATGTGGCCTCCTCGCTGTTGCTCCCAGCCAATCGATCTTGCGCTCGCTCAGCAGGTGCTTCCGCTCGATCAGAAGATTCGCTTCATTGACCGCAGCAAGGAGGCAAATGCCAAGAACAAAATGTATTGCAGCAACCCGCGGTGTTCGCTTTTCCTTGATCTGGACGTCGTTGGCATGGAGGAGCGGACGTGTTGATGGTACCAAGATGCAACAGTATCACAATCGAGGAATCCTCAACCTATCTCAAACTCATTCTTTGTCTCTCCTATCGTTTCCTCACTCTTAATAGTTTGTAGCGCACCTGCAGGACACCAAGTATTCATGCCCGCAATGTGACACCTTGCTCTGCTTGCAATGCCGTGGGCCAGCGCACCCAGAGCTTACCTGCCAAGAAGCAGCAGAGAGAAAACAGTCTTCGGCAGAAGAGCAGCAGCTGCTTGAGTTGGCAGGGCGACAGGGTTGGCGACGATGTGGTCGCTGCGGGGTGATGGTGCAGCTCTCTTCTGGCTGCAATCACATGACGTGCCGCTGCGGACATCACTTCTGCTACCAATGTGGCTCCAATTGGTCTGGACCGGATAATCAACGCCTATGTCGCTGCCCGCTGTGGCAGGAGGAGAATCTCATTGTGGATGTGCAGAGGCAGGTTGAAAGGCGGGAAAGGGAAGTGCGAAGACCGCTGAGAGAGCAGGAAGTGCAGGAGATTCGATACCAGTTGCAAGTGGAGGAAGAATTCACCCATGATGGATCCAGGCAAAGGAAGTATAGGCACTATGGATCTTATGGCCTGAATCAAGAGTGCGCCAACTGTGGCTTCAGGATGTATCACTACGGCTTCCAATGTAGACAGTGTGGAGACTTGGTTTGCCATACTTGCCACCACCACCGCCTACACTAGTGATGCTGGCAAGTAGCCTTGCAGTTGGCACAGAACTCGCTTGGCTTGTCAGCAAAGTGAGGGGGTTAGATGATCGGGCATCTTGACTTGGTGGACCCAATCTTATGAATTCAGATTCGCTCGAAAGGGGGAAAAAAGTGACGTGCACCAACAGCATACATTGACATGGTTCGTTCGAATGAGGATCACGTTTTGAAACCTTTCCGTGGCGCCATCTTAAGTGAGGATTTGCCCTTCGAACGCCAAGCGGTGCAGGTGCGAGACTGGCAAAGTCGAACGTGCAAATTGATCACACAGATATAGAGAAGTCGACACAGACAGCATGCGTTGCCCAAGGTCTGACAAGTAGTGTCGTTTACACCTGCTCAGATGGTGAGGCGAAGCTGCTGGCACTCAACAAGCTTGGCATATGGACCAAAGGCTGCAACCCCTTTGGTTGACCTTTTCCCCGTTTCTTCCCGTTTTCGTGGGTCCAAGGTCCAACACAAGACAGGACAGGATTCAGGATTGGATCTCAACCTTTGAGACGCAAAGGGACTGCTTCTGACATGGAGCACTCGCAAGTCACTTGGGATCTTGTTTTATATAACTTGTTTTCATTGTGCTGTTAGCAGTGGGTTCTTAAACAATTTTGCTTGGATACAGTTTGAGAGCACGTAAAGGAATTCAGTGACTGTTGGGAAGTCTCCGAGTTTTCTTTTGGAGGTCCTCATCCGTTGGATGAGTCTGCCCTGTCAGCGTTGATGCAGATTGAGCCAGTTCAGAGCTCAGAATACTCATTTAGCAGGATTTACAGTGTATGAAGACACCCCGGAATGATTTGTTTGTGTTTTGGAGGTGCTACTTGTATATCTCAGAAAGTACCGGAGCTTCTGAATTCACCGACTGAATGCTCTTTCTAAGCATTCACATCAGCCAGTGAGGTGGTTGAGGCAAGGAAAAAGACCAGGACAACTTTTAGATCGGGGCCTTTAGGTTTAGAGCTCCGGGGGTAGTTTGGTTGTTTGCAAAATTATTTCTGTATCCTTGATATAATACTGTATATAAATATATAAATAGGGAATCACACTTTGGTGGCATCCCGCCTCTGGCACAACATGATGGACATTGGGTACCACTAGGCTTCCACCGGAGACCTATGTTTTGGGCGTGGATGCCATCAAAGTGTGCTAGGGGTTTAAGTTTAGGTGATGTGACTCTGCCTTTTGAAGGACGTCGTTCTTTTTTTTTTTTTTTTCCAAACTCTTACTAAATGCAATCTATTTGTTCCAGGATCTACCCTCAAGTGGTTGATGGCATTTTCCTAGTAGGCATATCAAAGGTGTTTTGCGAGTGCTATCAAAGTGTGATTCCCTATATATAGTTTTTGGCTGCCAGGTTTGTTTGTTGCAGCTCAGTGCCCGCCAGTGTGAGTCCCGCCATTGCATGCATTGCTTTCCTGCCGCCATCAACCTCAAGTTCCATGTGGCACCTCCACATGATCCGATATTGTAACTTGGCAGATTTTTTTGATCAATCCTCCAAAGAGGAATGACAGTGCCATATCTAGAAGTAGAACAGAGGTGTGGGATTCTTAGGATGAAGCTTGTAAGAGTTTGACATGTGTGCTTCTCCCAAAGTCAGCAACGTTCAAGAAGAGAGAGAGAGAGAGAGAGTGGCCGCAGAGTTATCCCAGGGTCCTTATCGGATTGAAGCCCATGTGTGCATTGTACGTGTTTTTTGTTCAACTTTGTTCAACCATCCAGTCCAAGGCACCGGGTGCCCCTTTTTTTTGGGTCCACCGTTTGGGGATTTGCGTGGCTCAGTGACCACAGCCATTGTCCCAAGGAACCTGACCTGCCCACCCCTGGCCACGGTCATCACTGCGTGGCACCATGGCCTCGCTGATGATGGCCGCCATGTGGGACACGGGGACCATCATGTTTGTGTGGCTTGGAGAGCGTTGGGAACATGACAAGGGGTCCTGGAGATCATACTTCGGGAAAAGATCGCGGATTGCGGCGGCCATTGCTTTTGACGTTTAACTGTTTAATCAAGCTGGGGGATCACGAAGAAGTTTGCGTCTTGAACTCCGTATGGAACCATGGTGAACCATGGGGGTGTCGATTCGAGGGCGCTCCTCATCCTGTTCCTCTGGCGCTTCTTCTTCCCCTTCGCCTTCCTCACTGAGCGGTTCCAGCAGGCAAACTACACCTTGGTTGCTTGGAGATATGGTTCGATGCGCCAAAGCACCGGTTGCAATTCGATCATCGAGTCGGGAAGTGGAGCCATTACCAGGTCAGAGTAACGTCGAAGATGAACATGGTGGGTGGAGAGTTTTCGAGACAACGTCACTTCCAGCAAGAAAAGCAGTTGCGGTTGAACACGTCAATCTGCTTCTCGAGGTGCTCTATGCTCTCCTCCTTGTCCTCTTTATCTACAACACCGTGATCTTTATATCCACCGCCATGGAGCACGAGGGCAAGGTGCGGTTTCTCTTGGTGTCAGATGCTATTATTTGCTGAGAGACCTCACCAACAGATCATGCCGATGAGGGTTTATAATGCACTTCCTTCCCTAATGAACTTCCCTAATGAACTGAACTAATGAACTGTACATATTCCAAATGCAAATTCTTTTGTACCAACTCTGTTGTAGGTGATTCTGTTGAAGCTCTGAAAGCGGAAGGCCCGCATGGCCATCCCAGCCCGCAAATCTGGCGAGACTGAATCGCCGAGCGTGCGCAGAACCCGTCAGGCTGCATGGTCCACACTGCCGGCGTGGCTGAGACCCTTGACGCTGAGTACCCCGGGGATTTGCTTCGTGACCTTGCTGGTGCGGAGGATTAGGAAGGGAGAGGACATGGAAGGGGAGGGAGAAGGTAGCGCTTTCTAGAGCAATGCGGTCTTGGGCCCAGGCTTCATAGGACTTGTTCTAACTAGAACTTATTGGCCATGGGCCGAACAAAAGGAAGTGACACACACACACACACGCAGAGGATGGGATGGCATGACTTGACTATATAATCAGCCAAATGGGCGTGTTCCACACACACACACACTTCGGACCTGAACCTGAGTGTGTGAAGTGGAAAGCTCGTACTGCAGGACTCAGGTTCCGAGGGTGCAGGCTGCTTGATCACGTCGTGAGATGGGACATTGGGACATGCTCATGCCTGCTTTCCACGCTCGATGTACTCCAGGATTTTTAAAACATAATTCTTGTTGCACTCAGACCAAACACGGACATTCTTTCTTGTTTGGCAGATGTGCTTCCTCCAGTCTGGCCACCACCTCCTCTTAGTTCGTGCAGGCTGGGCCAGGTAAGCGTTGCGTCATGAGTATGCTTGATCGAAGCAACCTGACCTTCCATCCAACAGTTGAGGGTAGAGAACGCGAACTGAGCTCATACTTCTTGGGTCTAAGTATCCCAGGTTCCATAGATTTGGAAGTGAAAAAAGTCAATTGCAATGGCCTCTAATGTGCCTACAACCACCTTAGTCCCCTGAAGGAGAATGTGGGACATATCATATCATATCTCTTTTGCATTTTGGCTTCTGAATCGGACTCGCCCAAAAGCAAGAGATCGACCAGGACCTTAAGGGTCTTTGCCCTTTCCGACTGGTCCTCGAGCAAGAATCCTTTCAACCACGAAGCCTCACAGTAGCGAACTAGGCCATCTTTCGAAGTTCATCCTTTTGCAGCGCAGGAAAAGCTGCGAAGCATCATGACCAGGCGGTCTCCGAGCACCCTTGAAGCTTCCGGCCCAGTTGGAAAAGCTGTGGCATAGGACAAAGCGTGGGATGTTCCCATGATATTTTGTTGATGGAACTGATGGAACCTTTGATTGCAGCTGTGTGTTCACATCCAGTCAGACCACTCGTTGGACAATCAGACGACACGTCCATCATGGGCTCCAAGCGAGGTGCTGGCTGCTAGCTTCTGATTCCAAGATCCGAAGACCGAAAGCCTCGAACTAGCCACCAATCTGTTTGTTTTTCAACTGCGCCCTCCTCTGTACAACAGTGGCTTGTCCTTTATAACGTATGTCTCTACGTCTCTACGGAGGGATAGGTTCTCCATCCTTCGCAGATGCTTTAGCCTTCTAGCCTTCTTTGTCTCTCCTGAGAGGTTCTCCAAGTGATCGCCTTGCCAGCGGTCTATGGTGGAATGGCATATAGCAGTCAAGGGCTCAATCACTCGTGAGGGATGCCTGCAACATTGGTTCTAGAGATTATCATGCAACTGTGTGGAACTCAAAGAAATTCATCTGCTGGTCCTTTCAGGAAGTCACTCTATAACCCGTTGAAACTAGGGGCATGGAGAAATCTGCGGATGTGCTGAGGCATGACGCGCCTCTATCAGTTCCACGCTAGGGAGCCTAATTTGGCCGATGCCCGGGCTTGGCCAGTGTTCGAGGTTTCAATGGTGTTCCACTTGCCCCCCTAGATCAGGGTACCTCTTTATAGCGAAAGTCATATTTTAATAGCGAAATCCAAATCTTAATTGCAAAAATGATAATAGCGAAAAGACCCTCCTCAAAGGCACAACCAAGATCTTCCATAAACAAGCCTCGCAACCGAACGAGTTTCGCAATTAAACGCCACAATTTCGCAATTCAGGATCTGCATTTTTTTGCTATTAAAGGGCGCACTCCCCCTGCATTGTTCTTGAACCAGCTCCCTGTAGGATGAAACAAACGATTTGACAGGTTTGGATTGTGGAGCGAAGTTTGACAACCAGACTCCTAAATTGCTATATCACATCGGCAAGCCCCATTTGGGTGTGTATTTTAATAGGGAGACCCCCTGGCCCAATGTGTGGACTGGTCTATTTCCCTTCTTCCAGGGCGTCGAACTGGGAGGTTTCCCAACATGTAGTCTATGGGTGTTCTATTCTTCCTGCTTTCCGAGCTGCTCGATTCGAGGTCAACAGCTACGTGGACTCTCCCAGTTTGTTGCAGCTCCCACCAACGACACTGGAGAGTGTAGCCATTTCAAGGACTGCCCCTGTGCAACAACAGTTTCATCCTTATCGTAATTCAACACATCTGGCTGCACCTCCCTGATCAAATTACTTTGATTCTGAGCTGGGCCTAAAGGAAGCTCAGGCAGCAAGATCGGGGGATATGATCGCTTGTAAATGATTTGCAAAGTGAACATTGCTTGCAGTAGGTGCCCTAGAGCAAGCAAGAAACTACAAGATGTCAAACGGGGATTTTGGTAGTCAAGCATTTCAAGGGTCTTGGAAATGGGTTTGACAATTGCATCTGGTATGTGGCCGGGGTTTCTCAAGTATTCCTGAGGTACTCTGACTCTCTGACTCTGTAGCCAATGGAGTGAACATACAAAAGAAATGCAACCGACCGCAGAACTCCGCGGAACTGCCATATCTAGCTGGGCGCAACATCAGCCTTTGTTCCATGGGTTTTGACAGCTACTAAGGGGCTCAAGAGCTCAACAGCAGGGGGTGTCTGAAATGCAGAAAGTTTGAATGGAATTCCACCACGAAGCTTGAGACAATTGGTGCCACATTTGGGGTTGTTTTCCATTGTTTTCCCTTTGCTGGGGACATCGCTCAAGTCACCTATCAACCAAGCCTTGCCGCTTTTTGCAGGAGCGAGACCTGCTTCTTCGTGGGCGACATGTTTGAGTCATGGACGCTCGACTAAAGGCTGTTCGGTGGAGCAAGGGTCAATGGATGTACAGTATTGCATCCTTGCTGTAGCAAGGCGCTTGTGACTTGGTGTGGCACGTCTTGATTATATTTTCGATCCGTGT